GTAGTCGTAGGAAAAAGATATTTAGCAAAATGAAAGAGTGATTGACTCTCTTCCCTAGTGAAGCTTTTTTTCTCAAGCACATGACATTCTTGAATTTCTTGAGTAAGAATCTCATGGCGTGGAGACATTTCTTACTCATGCAAAACACATTTTTTCCGATATCATGCGCTTGATTTTCTTGAGCCAAACTTTTCTGGGTCTTGTCTTTTCGATCTGCTTTGACCGATGAAATTCGAAATTTTGATTCGTTCTTTCAATGTGAATATATAAAAATAGACTGGACGTGTCTGTGTATAGAGCAGACGTGTGGATGTCATATACATTCAAGAGAATAATGAACGTTGTCTACAGAGCTGTTGCTTGTTTTTTTAACGCACTGTGAAGACGAAGACCATTTGCACTCACATTTTTTGCATGTTTTAACCTATTACATATTCATCAACCTTTGCTATTGATAAAAAGGATAAAAAGTTAAATAATTTCAACCTTTAACTTCGAAGTAAGTACACAGCAATCTGAGACGAAGAAAGAGAGAGTTAAATCGTTCTGCGTTTTTTCTGTCACAAAACTGAACTATCTTTCTCATTAGCAGTTATGAAAGGTCTTTCGTCTCAGATAATGTACCGAATCTGAGGTCCTTTCCCCGTTGTGTAGGCTCGTCAGTTAAAAATATTGACTGTGCAAGATTCAAATGAAATTGCACAAAAATGAGACATGCACCAAATGGTTGGTATTTATCATTACAACTGTGAGTTTCCTCGGTTAAGATCGTTTTGCGGTTGGCGGCTTCCAGGATGTAGCAAGTATCAGTTTGGTCCTGTTTGATTCATAGAAGACTGGATGCCAAGATATACCGTCTCCTTCACGGGATGCTAGATTGGCTCTAGCAACGAACTGATATTAGCATCTAGTATTTACGGATACGCTTTCTGGAAGTCCAAGCGTGAATGTTTTCTTCACATACGGTACCTTAACGGTAAAACTCACAGACGTACCTTAAAAGACATCAATCTTTCTCACTTTTATTTTGAGATCAAATTCCAGTCACATGTCGAACCAAAATTGAGAAATACAACGTGGAGCGAACTTAGTCAATCTGAAAGGAACATTTTTCTCAAATAAACACATCACAGATTATCGTAAAATTATGTTCAGCAGTGTAAAAACAGATAACATGAAGATTTTAGGGGGCGGAATGTATAGCAGAAAGTCAAAATTGGTGTGTACTCGCTTAGAACTGTCATGAACTTTTCATTGAAAACAACTTATTTTCCTTTGTAGATAAAGATTATGGCATAGTGAGAGTGTCAGATGGTCGAGAAAGACTAAAAAACTGATTACATCATGTTCTCGAAGAAAAGTCCGAGTAAAATATGGTGTAATCAAGTCTAAAAAATGACGCTAGAGCTATGCGCAGAAAATCGATAATGCATGACTTTCTTAAGGTATGCACATGAGTTTCTTGAGATATGCACATTGTTTTAGATATTTTTTCTCTCGTGCGCACACTTCAAGCAACTCCAGCGCATGAGACAAGGAAGTCAACACAACTCAAGCGTTTAACATGAGTAAGAAATTCCTCTGCATGGAGACAAATCTTGAGGTATGTGCTTGAGAAAAAAACTTCACTAGGATTGTCCCCTTCCGAACGTTGAAAAGAAACAAATGTCTTGCCTTTTATTGATTCTACATATATACCTTATGTTATTGCACTTAAGTTGTCGGGTCAAAGGTTATAAATTCTGTAACGTGACTTGGATTGGGGAATTACCAGGTTTTCCATGACAACATAGGTATAATAAGATAAGATATATATGTAGAATGTTACTGTGAAATAAACTATTGCAAGCCAGAAATGGACGAAAGGTATGTTTTAGAGCACAAGAACTAACTTCTATATAGTTGAGAAAAAATCTTCTCCTTTTAGACTTGATTCCGCATGTAGCCTAACATCAAAGATAAATGTAATGGATCTGGAACAGCATTTGCATGAACAAATGAATGAACCTGTCCCCGAGGATTGGTATAAACATTATTTTGATACCGATAATAATCGGCAAACATATTCATTTTCTGAATTTTGTGATATATTTCAAATAACACCTATTTTGGGTAAGCGTTTATTAAAACAATTTATTACAAATTTTAATTTTGACGATAAATGTAATCGTATAGATAGTAAAGATATATGGAGAATTGCACGTGTTCTATGGGAAGGTTCAGCATGTCTTAAATCATTGATATTATTTCGTGTATTCGATGAAAATGACGATAAATTAATTACAGTTAATGATATAAAAAATTTTTATGATGAATATTTAAACGAAGATGAAAGTATGATATTAAATAATAAAGACCATGAAACCATATTAGATACAATAGTAGATGGCTATAGTTGGGATGCAAATAAAGAAATGACATTCGACCGATTTCATGATACACTAGTTCGGCAAACAAATGGTAAAATCGAAGATTTATTTAAAATTTATTTTACAAATGATACACGTACAACAGATAATAAAAAATCAAAACAAAAGCGTCTAGAACTTTATATAAAGAATCATTTAAAAGAAATCATATTTCTATTAAGTTATATATTAACTCAAATAGGTCTTTTACTATGGGTTGTATTTTGTCGTTATACAGTTATCTATGAAGTACACAAAGAAGACATGCATCCATTGATTGTAATAGCAAAAATATGTGCAATGCTTTTATCATTTAATTGTTCATTAATTATTGTATTGATGTTAAAACAAATAATAACACTTATAAGATGTTCTTATTTACGTTATATATTACCGGTTGATTGTCATATTGATTTCCATCGTATTGTTGGACGATATATTTTGGTTCTAGCAGTTATACATGCAATATCGCATATGGTTCATTTTTCTATTTTAAAAACACGTATGTATTTACAGATCTTTACGACAGACATAGTTTATGAGACGGTACTTTTACATACTACGGCTTATTCGTGCGCTACAGAATGATATTTTTTCCTCTTTCGCGACTTCTGTCTTCCGAATTATACCATAGATTATGCTGAAAACCTATTGCAAATGTAATTCTACTACTTCTCTCAGCTCTGAAAATTTCAAGAAAAACAAAGTTTTCTTTAACCGTCTAATTCGACCAGCTAGCCGATCAGGCTGATTAGCATACATTACGTAGATTTAATGATAAAAAAGAACCTTAAAAACACATTATTTTTTACAGTGCAGTTTCTGCTCGGGCTGCCCCCGTCTATAGCCATACGGTGTCCTTGAGACTGGCAAGGACAGGGCACATTCATTGTCTTCACTCTCAAATCCTAAAAAATGTCCTCGACTATCGACTTAGAAATATAACTTCAAGTTCGGACCCATCTTTAGTTGAAACTTCTCAAATGAAATACAGCTACCTTTCTTTGGTTTAGCTTATACATGGGCAGAATTAATGTTTACGTTTGCCGCAAATCAGGGTACAATAATTCCAGGTTTTGCCACTATCAGTGGCATCATATTATCGTTCATATTAATCACAATCATTATATTTTCATTCGAATATATTCGTCGAAGTGGTCATTTTGAATTATTTTATTTTACCCATCTTCTCTATATTCCATTTTTTATATTTTTAATAATGCACGGTAATGGATTTTGGAAATGGATTATTGGACCATTGACAATATTTGTTATTGAAAAAGTTTATGAGTTATGTCAATTTTGTCGTTCATCACACGGTAAAACACATATGAAATTCATGACAATCTTCGAAAGTTATTCAAAATCGGGCAAGCTAGAATCATCTGTCCTTGCATTGTCCATAAAACGTCCACGAAATTTTGATTACAGACCCGGCGATTATCTTTTCCTTAATATACCAGCAATCTCAAAATTTGAATGGCATCCATATACAATAAGCAGCGGTCCAGAAGAAAAAGATACATTAAGTGTCCATATTCATGCAGTAGGGAATTGGACAAATAAAGTGCTAGAATATTCAAAATTAGTGATGCATAAAAACGATTCCAACGGACTCTGTCAAATAGTTAGCCATCTAAATATTACAACCGAACCCGTAAATGTGGAACCATTAAAAAGGCAATCATTTCTCATTAATGACAGTGTACTTATAGACGGTCCATATAGCTCATGTGCAAGATACATCTTCGATGTGGAGCATGCCGTTCTTATCGGAGGTGGTATCGGTAAGTGGATGTGTAACTTTATAACAGCTCATTTCTATGTATATAATTTTTTCAGGAGTGACACCTTATGCAAGTATTCTCACATCATTAATGGTACAATTTCGTTTACAACGAATTAAATGTAAACAATGTAATCATATTAATTATACAACACCGATAAGTGGTACAATCTGTACGGATCGTATACTAAAAAAAGTCGATTTTGTATGGATTAATAGAGACATACAAGCATTTGAATGGTTTTTAGATTTATTAGCTCATTTTGAACAAGAACAGGAAGACTATTTGAAAGATGTTCAGAATGACGGCTCAAATGAACGTCAACGTTTTCTTGATTTACATCTTTTCTTTACTGGTAACACTCAACGTAAAGATGTAATAAGAAGAATGAGCCAAAGCATTTATTATGAACGAGCTAGAAAAGATTTGTATACAAGCCTGAAATCGAAAACTCAGAGTGGACGACCAAAATGGAATTCATTGTTTTCT